CGAATATTGCACGTAGGACATAAGCTTCATCTTGAATTACCTTTTCATAGTTTATTCTAAAAAAATTTTTTAATATGCTCATTTTTTTATTTATATAAAAAAACATTTTTATCTTTTTTTGAGCGTATATATATATTTTATGTATAAAAAAAACAAAAAAAACACTTTTTCCCTGATTGCTTTTACGCTGTTTGTAAATGTATTAGTTTTTTTGTTTCCGCTCATCTTGTGTCCCTACGAAAGTACGAGTTTATTTTCGACATGCACTCACACGTTTCATTTTTCCTCTTTTCCAGGACGGCTGGAAAAGAACGACGAAGTTTCGCAAGGAACCGAAATTTTCATTGTACTATATTTCTTTATTGCTATGTTGTACATTTTGGTCCCATAGTTTAAGGAAAGACAACCAGACGCTGCTAAAGGAAGCAAGCTATCAAAAGTGTGTTTACCAACGACAAACTCGTTGGTTTTAAACTTCTGGCTGGTCACGTCTTAGGGGCATCACTACCTCTCTAGGGGGGGAGTGATCTGTAGCTGTAAATAATTCCCCAAAATCAATAGTTCATTAAGGGTTCGACATTGGATACTGACCACGTTGTTTAAGTGGACTTGTTTAGCTGAAGGCTTTCGGTCATGCATCCGCACCAGATCACGTTTCAACTCGGCGTGGGACACAGCTCCTACGTTCCATTAGCCAGCTTATAGAAAAGGTCCTCGATATATTGGTAACGAATCAAATATATCTTTCCTGCCTCTTCTCATCTGACTTCTGATTTCTATCTGACTGGGAACGATCGAACATAGAAGGTGCTACTGGTAACTAGTTGTAAAATTAGAACATCCGTTGCATCCTCAAGGCTATTGCGCGTTCAGCTGAGTTTGGTTCAAATAATCCACAATAATAAAAGATTAGTAATCACAATATGGACGATATAGACCCAGTAGGTTTACCAAGCGTAGAATTCAATAAGAATATCACAATTGTCTATAAATGGAGATAGTATATAATTAATATTTGATTCAACATATTAGCAGACATGGCAGAACGATGCAGATGTGAGTTAGTGTATTTATTGAGGAGCAGTAACAATGTCGCGATATATTGTACTCGAAAACGGAAGGAAGTCAAACTACAAGTGTTTAAAGTAATACATTTAAACAACAAGTACAATTGTTTAATGCTAAATGTACAGAATATGAAAAATACGCAAAATACATGCAAAAACTTACTTACTTACTTACGCCTGTTACCCCTCGTCGAGGAGCATAGGCCGCTCACCAGCATTCTCCATCCAACTCTGTCCTGAGCCTTCCTTTCCAGTTCTTTCCAGTTACTATTCAGCCTTTTCATATCGGCTTCTATTTCCCGGCGTAGTGTGTTCTTTGGCCTTCCTCTTTTCCGCTTCCCTTCCGGATTCCAAGTTAGGGATTGAGTCGTGATGCACATTGGTGATTTCCTTAATGTATGTCCGATCCACTTCCAACGTCTTTTCCTTATTTCCTCTTCAGCTGGAAGCTGGTTTGTCCTCTCCCATAAAACGCTGTTGCTGATAGTATCCGGCCAATGGATGTTGAGTATTTTGCGTAGACAATTGTTTATAAATACTTGTACCTTCCTGATGATGGTCGTAGTAGTTCTCCACGTTTCAGCTCCATACAGTAGGACTGTCTTGACGTTCGTGTTAAAGATTCTGACCTTGAAATTAGTTGAGAGTTGTTTTGAGTTCCATATGTTCTTCAATTGTAGAAATGCTGCCCTTGCTCTGTCAATCCTTGCCTTTACATCTGCATCCGATCCTCCTTGTTTATCAACGATGCTCCCCAGGTACGTGAATGTTTCCACCTCTTCCAGAGTTTCGCCATCAAGTGTGATTGGGTTGGCGTTCTCCGTGTTACATTTGAGAATCTTGCTTTTTCCTTTGTGAATGTGGAGACCTATCGATGCGGAGGCTGCTGCTACATTTGCTGTCTTCATCTGCATTTGGTCGTGTGCATGAGAGAGGAGGGCTAGGTCATCTGCGAAGTCCAAATCATCTAATTGATTCTGAGAAGTCCATTGTATTCCGTATTTCCTTTCAGATGTCGAATTCTTCATAATCCAGTCAATCACTAGAAGGAAGAGGAATGGGGAGAGTAGACAGCCTTGTCTGACTCCGGTCCTTACTGGAAATGCATCTGTCAGCTGTCCTTCATGCACCACTTTGCACTGTAGTCCATCGTATGAGTTTTGGATAATGTTGACAATCTTTTCAGGAACTCCATAGTGTCGAAGAAGTTTCCATAATGTTCTCCTGTCCACGCTGTCAAACGCCTTCACATAGTTAATGAAGTTGACGTATAGTGATGAGTTCCACTCAACTGATTGTTCAACGATGATCCGTAGTGTCGCAATCTGGTCTGTGCACGACCGATCCTTACGGAATCCAGCCTGATGATCCCTAAGTTCAGCGTCTACTGCGTCTTTCATCCGATTCAGTAGCACTCTGTTGAAAACTTTTCCTGGTACTGATAACAAACTGATACCTCTGTAGTTCTCGCATTTGCTCAGATCTCCTTTCTTTGGTATCTTGATGAGATATCCTTCTTTCCAGTCCGTTGGCACTTGTTCCTCTTCCCAAATCTTTTTGAATAGAAGGTGAAGCATATTTGCAGTTATTTCAATGTCTGACTTCAGTGCTTCTGCTGGTATATTGTCAGGTCCTGCCGCCTTCCCACTTTTGATTTGTCTGATGGCCATCTTGACTTCTTCGATCGTTGGTGGAGTGACATCTATTGGAAGGTCAGTGTGGGCTGCTTCGATGTTCGGTGGATTCAATGGGGCTGGTCTATTCAGCAGTTCCTCGAAGTATTCTGCCCATCTTTTCCTCTGCTCCTGAATCTCAGTGATTGTCTTTCCTTCTTTGTCTTTGACTGGTCTCTCTGGTTTGCTATATCTCCCTGCCAATTTCTTCGTTGTATCATATAGTTGTTTCATATTCCCTTCTCTTGCAGCTTTTTCCGCCGCCGTTGCTAGTTCTCCCATATATTTCTGCTTGTCGGCTTTAATGCTTTTCTTCACTTCTCTGTTTGCTTCTGCGTAGTCTGCTTGTGATTTGACTTTCTCTGCTCGTGTTCGGCTGTTGTTAATTGCTAGTTTCTTGTTCTTCCTTTCTTGAATTTTGTCCAGGGTTCCCATAGAGATCCATTCCTTGTGATGGTGCTTCTTAGAACCAAGAACCTCCTGACACGTTGAAGTTAGTGCTTCTTTTATCCCTTTCCAGTTGTCCTCCAAAGTAGTTTCTTGTTCTTTCAGTAGATCCTGTAGAGCTTGGAACCTGTTGTTGAGAGTTATCTTGAATTCATGGAGTTTGTCAGTATCTCGAAGGAAGGCTGTATTAAACCTTTGTAGTGCTGTTTGTCCAGTTGTCCAGTGTTTCTTTAGCTTCACTTTCATCTTGGCCACAACCAGGTGGTGAACTGAAGCTATGTCAGCTCCTCTCCGGGTTCTCACACCTTTCATTGATCTTCGGAATTTTTTGTTGATACAGATGTGATCAATCTGGTTCTCTGTGGTGTGGTCCGGTGAGATCCATGTAGCTTTGTGTATGCGTTTGTGTGGGAATATTGTGCCGCCTATAACCAATTTGTTGAAAGCACATAGGTTTGCAAGTCTCTCCCCATTTTCATTTCTCTCTCCTAGTCCATGTCGTCCAATTACATCTTCATATCCTGTGTTGTCCACTCCAACTTTAGCATTTAGATCTCCCATAAGGATGGTCAGGTCCTTTTGTGAGCACTTTGCTATAATTGATTGCAGCCTTTCATAGAACTGATCTTTATCATCGTCGTTGCTATCATTGGTGGGTGCATAACATTGGATAACGTTCATTGTGATCCCTTGCTTCTTTGTTCTGAATGATGCTTTGATTATCCTGGGTCCATGAGATTCCCATCCCACAAGTGCATTTTGTGCTTCTTTGGACAGCATTAGAGCAACTCCCTGAGTGTGTGGCGCATTTTCCCCTTCGTGACCGGAGTACAGCAGCATCTCTCCTGTACCTAGCCTTTGTTGTCCAGTTTGTGTCCAATGGGTTTCGCTGATTCCGAGTACTGCCAAGTTGTATCTCCTCATTTCCATTGCTATTTGGCTGGTCTTTCCTGTTTCCCACATTGTCCGGACGTTCCATGTACCTATAAAGAGTGTTGCTCTGGTTGTTAGAAGGTGCATCGGTCTCGTGACTTCCGAAGAATTTCGGCTTTCATCATGAGACATCATTATTCCTTCAACTCCCAGGGCAGAGTTTAAATGGTTTGGATTATTTTTTCTGGTTAGCGTTTTTTTAGCGAGTTAGCTTTTCTACGGGATGGGGTCGCTAACCCCATGCCCAACCCTCCTCCTTTACCCGGGTTTGGGACCGGCAGTAACTCTAGAAGAGCTACAGGCGGAGTTACATGCAAAAACTATGAACAATTATTTACAAAATAGGTTTTATGGTCCTATCTCCACAAGAGTGATGAACAGAGTTGCATGATAATGGGAAATTAGAGGGTGTTTTCTACATAAACTTCAGCAAGGTGTTTGAGATGACGTCAAAATTTTGTGGAAAATAAAGGAAGACCCAGATTCGAATGTACTTCCGAACGACTTAGATAATTGACTTAGTTCTCAAAGTGGTTGGGGGCTATCAACGCAGCGACGTGTGTTCGACATTATATATCCTCTCTTCCACTTCCTACAGGATCAGAACAACTCAGAGAATAGTAGGAAGTTACAGAAGCCAAAACCGAGACAACTGTCTGTAGTGTACATGATTTTACATAAAGTCATCAATTATTGGAACTTGTTGTCTTAAGAATTAGTGTCCATACTGCTAAACAACTCATTCAAGAGAACACTATACATTTACAGAAGCTTAATGAAAAACGATAAGAATTGATGAATAGTTGTGAAAACCTGTATGCCACGCGTAATTTGTTCGTTCTTGGCTTTCTACTCGACTACTATGTCCTCTGAAATGTCTCACGAATTTCGCTATATCATGCGCCCATTCCTAATAATAATGGACACTACTCGATTACCATACACACTAACCCCTAATTGGTGGCTACTTTTGCTAAGTTCACGTTTGAATTTGTCGTCTGCAGATAACAATTTAAAGCTTCAAGGTCGATATCGGTTCTTTAGGTTTGTTTACTAATTAATATTATTATGGCGTATATTCACTTGCCACCACAATTTAGCTATACCAATACTTCAACCAGTTAGGAAAGTGCAGTATATTCACTTGGAACATGTTTTTCATGTAGTCACTTTCCCTTTATGGGTTGTCAATGATAATCATGTCTGGAGACTTTGACGTAGGTATAATTTTCAATGAGATTTTCCTTGAAATTTACCCATGTTCGATCAAGCTTGTCCAAAAGCCAGGAAGCTGAGTCGTCCATCAATATCCTAGGATTTATAGTAATATTCTGACTCAGATTTGAAGACCTACGACCTGTGCTAGTCATTTTCTAGTAAGCTTCTTGTGTGTCTAGTATTCTCTTGAGTGAGTCATTCGAAATGGCAGGGACTACTTCTTCGAGTAACAGGTTCCAATGGATAATGACTTGATGTGAAATCCTGTACGCCATGGGTAGTCTACTCGTTTTTTTGGCTTCTGTATCCTCCTTCTGTCCTCTGGGTTGTTCTGATCTGGTAGGAAGCAAAAGAAAGGATATATCAGGTCCAAAGTCACTTCCTAGCATTTGATGCAAGACGAAAAACGAACAAGTATATTTTTTCTCGTCGAGCAATTTTTTAGTGTTGATTGTACAAGGTGAAAAGGTTTTTGGTATTTAGTTAAGCTGGATTTTTTAGTTGAAGTAACATGCAAATATCAGCCTTTTGTGTCCAGTGTCTTTCACATTCAGAACCTTGAAAACATTCTGGAGGTCAGATTTTCTGTTTGTTTATTTTCCTTGAGCTTTAAGAGATATTTGTTGTTCTCTCTATGAGATCACTTAACAAATGTAATGGCGCAAGTAAAACATCGTTATGGTAGACCCACATGCTTTTTCCCAGTCGAGCATGGGATGCAATGTGGTAACTGCAACAATTGGTACCACAGCGTCAACACCATACTCACACCGGCTGCACATAAAAGGTGTCTCAAGCCACTATCACGTTGACTATGCAAAGCATGCTGCCCTACGAAGTCCCTACTGATTCTTGGGAAGGTTGAGCCCCTTAACGTAGCTAAAAAGATGTCCTCATATAAAGGGTTAGCGGCCGATGAGCAGCTTTCACATTTCGAACAAGTAGTGGGCGTTATCATAAGTCCAGCTTTGGATTTGAATAAAACAATCAAGATGCACCTCAGTAACGTAGCGGTTAACAAACACACAGATGCAGGCATGGTTACAATAAAAAGAAAGAAGCACGTTGACTAGAAACAAATTATAGGGAGCTCTAAGTTATGTGAGTCGACTGTTTCAGCTACAGATTCACATATCAACGCAAAACAGACTATGGAGGAACACATCCTGAGTTGTGTGGATAGTGTGATCAAGAGACGCAATAAGGTCGATCGTTGGCTTACAGTTACATCCAGAAAAGTAAGGAAACAGAGAGACCTTAGCATGTGACGCCAAATCGGACTGCAGGGCTAAAACTTCAGGAAACAAAACTTCAAAGCTTGCAAAGAGGTACCTCGCTGACAGGTCAGTCATTTTTCAAAAATAGGAGAATCGTTCGAAAAGAAACCAAATGCTACATTTTAACGCAGTCACATGAAGTTTTTAGTAAGCAATCTACTTCCAGAAACAGTAGCAGGAGTTGGCATCTATAAGCCTTGTCAGTTAGAAAAGAAAAAAAGATATGAAGCAACTTTAATCTCATAGTTTGGGGGAAGACAGAAAGTGTATACACCTACACCATTGTGGCTTCAAGCACTGATGTCACTTTTTGGTTTGGTTGCCCCTAACTCTCTTCCAGCTATCCCCAACACTAGTCAGCATAGCGCGTTGTGGTAATCGGTGTTCAGGCATACGTAACACGTGGCCCAACCATCTCAGTTGATGAAGATTTACAACCTCATGGATAGATTTACCATCATTCCCTAATACCTTGCGTCCAACCTCATTATTACTTACCCGTTGATCCCAACAGATGCGAGCAATGTTTTTAAGGTATATGTGATCAAATACTAGTAGCTTACGAGTATCTTCTACTTTTAATTGCCACGCTTCGCAGCCGTAAAGTAGAACATAGCGAACTGCTGTGCAGTATACTCGTCCCTTAATTGATAGACGGATATCTCGTCTTCGCCATAGGTGACGTAAGTTGGCAAAATGCAAACGAGCTTTTTGAATCCGTGCTGAGATTTCGTTGGACCAACTTCATGTTTTAGAACTTAGTTTACACTATGTTCAGACAATTATTACAATCCAAATTAATTTACTAAATAGCTAGCTAATATTCCAGTCGTCTTAGCTGTAAAGAATAGACGACCAATCTTAATGAACTGAAGTTAAACCACCAAAATAAACTGTTTCTCTTCACTTCAAGTTAACAATAACATTTCCGATTTCTCTAAGAATTGACAGTTGGTCGTCGAACTTCCATTCAAGCTATCGCTTAGTAGTGAACAACTAGAGAATAGTTAGGTGTTCGTTGAACTATTCTGGTTTCAGAACAAACTGAGCCTCCATCATTTTTCAAAGATAATGCCACTGATATCTGAGAAAGTACGTAATAAAACACTCGACTGTATATTCAGTTACCATTCATGGTCGAATCTCTGCAGCCTTCAAGGTTACCTCGAGATCATTATCACCACTTTGTTTTAGCTATCCAGTATCCTGCTTATGTAATCCGTTCTTAAAACACATACCAAACTTGGACTATCACTTTGGTAACATGTTTCATGGTCTTCATTGCGTGCATATAAACATAAACAAATATCTCATCGCGATTCTTAATAGAAAGACACTTCTCCAACAATTGACATACGGTAGACCCCACAAAAACAGTCGCATGGTGAATATCCAGAGGTGTCAAACAGTGGTCAGGTCACCTAAATTTTTTGCTCCTACAACTAACACTCAAAGTAGGGGTCTGATTGGAAACTCGATAGCTTGTATTGTAAACTGTTTGAAGCCAAATATTAAGACAGCTTCCCTTGTGCAGCAGTTAGATCATATTCCCGGTTCACTTCTAATATCCACCCTAGATCTTCTGATGACCCATTAATTAGATCTTGCCTATGATACCGTCATTTTAAACTAGATTACCTTTAGCGAGAAGTGATTAAACCAAATCATTGATTTTCTTAATCATTTCCACTTGAGTGACCGTGGTAGAAACATATTTCCAAGTTTTCTTAGGTATTCAACAAACACCTTTGAAAATAAAACGAAATTCCAATCATCAGTTAGAACCAAACATAATAATGTTTACTAATTGGTGAAAACATTCTGTTTTTACAAAATATCAATCTTGTTCGTAGCATCTCTTTATGGATAGCATTTTATAAACTTGTTCTGGGTAAATGAGCATAGCTTCTTTTTCTATGATCTAACATAAACGGTGAAGAATTTAGTTGAAGTACAGTAACATGTAATAGCTAAAAATGATCATTAATGCAACTGACCAAATCTGTACATGTTCGTGTACTAGACTATAAACGAAGTCACTTTCCTATCCAAATCTTGATTGTTGAGATATAGTTTGAACTAATTATTATAAGGGCAATTACTATGCTGGTTATCAAGAGAACTGAACAGCATCCAAATTCCACAATATAAACAGTATTACTTCATCTTTTAACGTAGCTACATGAGTACCTAAAGTATTTATATACTAACAATCCAACTTAGTGATTCGGATTGTACCCCATTTATTAAGTTATGAGTAAAAATGTTATCCAATTTTACAAAATAAAGTAGGCGAAACACGATCCAGACCTAATACTGGGAGACCGAAAATTTACTGCTTTGGCGATTAAGCCATGACTTTGCAATGGATAATATAGTTTACTGTAACGAAATGGCAACAATTTAGTTGCCAACCAGGATTATTGATTTAAATATTGAGTCCCACAAGAGGACAAATTAGTTATTCCATCATACACTAAATACTCTCACAATTATTGGATTCGATTTTAACGTACAGAATTTCTATACCTTAGACGTGTAACAGCTTTTTTTTGAAACTTCACTCCATGTACGATGGTTATTTCCCTGTTTGTCTATATGTATTTCAGATTTTTAGGGGCATACTCTGACAAGTGCAATGTTTCGAGCGGTTACAATGAAATATTTAAGCTTATTCATTCTCGTATTTCAAAATCTACTTTATATTCTGTGTATGCGTCATGCAAGATCACGAACAACCGATATGTTCAACTCTTCATCCATGGTAATAATGAGCGAATGTTTGAAATTCTTGACATGTGTATCAGTCCTAAGTACTACTGGAGATTTTAAAAAATGTTTAAAACTCATTCAACATAATCCATTAGATGTTTTAATGACTTTTATACCTGCCATAATATATGTTATTCAAAATCGTCTACTTATAACAGCTTTAAGTAATTTAGATGCTGTCACATTTCAGGTAAGATTAATAATATTTCATAATAGAATATTTATTAGTTTAGGTGGCTTATCAGTTGAAATTATTTACTACAGCATTATTTAGTATGCTTATTCTTCGAAAACCAGTTAGTAAAATGCAATGGTTTGCTTTGATTTTATTATTTATTGGAGTTGCAACAGTTGAAAGTCCTGTTAATTCGAATAAAACTAATCATCCACCTATAGCATACAATCCTCCATTAGGATTATTTTGTGCTGTATGTGCATCCATATTGTCTGGTTTAGCATGTGTATTTTTTGAAATGGTAAGTTATTCTATCTATAGATTATTTATAACATTTGAATTTTAAATATTTATAAACCTGTATGTTATATGTTGGATTATAGTTATCACATTAAAGCTTGTGAGAAGAAAACAGCCAACCATTTTTCAACTGTATTATCATGATTTCATGTAGAGTGACTTTTTCCTATATAACAGATATATAGTTTCTGTAATGAAATGCTTTTATCTTTTTTGTTGATAAGCTAACAAATCACATGTTATTTGTAGTCTATTACATACGCTCATTGATCCTGATATCATATCACATGAATCATGTCATGGACTTGTACTCCAATCAATCTACTTTGATGTGGTTGATCATATAGGATGAAATTATTATGAAACTAACGTTCAATAATGATTTAGTTGTTCAATAACTTATTTTGACTAGTGCTCCGCCGGTTTGAGTCACACTGGTTTGTGCAGTTAGGTAGTATGATTAACTCTTCGGTCATTATCAATGTAGAGTCTAGCTCGAAGTGGATTACATATGTCTATGCTGGGTTAATTAGTTACATTAATATTTTCTCTGTAACTAATAAATGTGAATAGATAATGGATATATCCACAGATTTCGAGTTAAATTATGGACTTAAGTCTGTATTTATTAACCAAGATAACCTTTTAGACCCTGTTATTAATTAAATGTTTTGATTGTTAAAAAGATCAGTTGTTTGTAACATGATATAATGCAGTCAATTGTGACAACTGTTTACAAGATTGAGTCTATTGACTTGTTGCACAATTAGTTCTCAAGGATTATACAATTCACGTGTTAGGAAAGTGCGAATATACAACTCAGTAATTTATTATATTTTACTTGATAAAGCCAAATGTATTGACGTTACAAACCGCGTAAATGCATCTATTTATTGAATAATTTATACCAACTAACGCTTAGTTCAATGTATGAAGATTTGTCTGCTAAGTAAATCATATAGTTCTGTATATTTTTGATACGAATTTCGTATAAATGGTGAATTAGTGACTGTACATGCTGTGAAATAATTCTGTGGTGTTTAGTAAATCTTCATATACCATCTTCCCATCTTCCTTATATTAAGCTTTGCCAGTCCTTGTTCAGTTATACACTGGCAAGTAACTGGTTGTGTCCGCATGGCATAAGAAGTAACCATACAATTAAAAGTGCATTACTACTGTTTTTGCATGAAGCGAAGCTCACAAATTAACAACAACAAAAATAGTCAAATTTTACATATTTTGTTGACGATTCACATAAAATGATATGCAAAGGCCGTATCGAGCTACTGTTTTTTTAGTAAAACACCAGGTAGGATGAAAAAATATTCTTTTTCAGTTAGTTTTTCATCATCACTCTGTACTAATATATATATGAGTGAGAATAGTGACTCAGAGGTTAAGGTAACCGGTTTTCAGCCACTAATTCGCCGGCTCGAACCCCGTCCCACTTCTATATGGACAGACACGTGAGCATCATTAGCCTGCACACAAATAGTGTGCTCAAAATGAGTGGATAAATCATTATTTGGCAAATGGCGTTTGATGATATTTCTGTATGCATCTTCTGGGACCATCGGGTAAGTAATAGTGAGGTTAGACGCAGGGTATTCAGGAATGATGGTAAATCGGTTGTTTATTTATTTAATCACATATATATTGGTACAAAGGGCACCGGATGCATATGCGCCACACAAAATAATGTGAATGGGAGGAGAAGGAAGAAGATATATATATATATATATATATATATATATATATATATAAGAAGGGAAAAAAAGGAGAGGAGTAATGATGGGGGAACTGAAATGTACAACCAGAAGAGCTCTCTCAGTTTTGTGCATAATTTCTTTTTTTTCACTTCTTAAAATCAGTATTTATTACCTATCGGTCGAGAATAAAAGTTCTCCATATCTTTGCAGTAAACGCACCTATTCATATTATCATCTATGTGTTTTTGTATACAAAACAAGTAATCTATGTAAGTCGGACATCATTGAAAAGTGACTCAACATCAAGGGAAATCATGAATTGTCATTTACATTCACACCCACTATTTGATCAACAAATTCAAGGGTGTCATATACGAGATGCATGGAAATATATCTTTTTACGGATTGATTACAGCTATTATAAAGAGCAGATTTAAATCGTTGAAAGTCCTGGTGGCTTGACATCTCATGCACTATGTTTTAATCCAGATTAATGGTCGAAGAGAATCAGCAGCAAATTCCTTAATCTAGGTTTTATACTACTTTTTAACTATCAACAAGGCGTATCTGCAATCAACCATGATTCCTCTCAATATCGTAAATACATCTAACCAAAAAAATCCTAACACAGCATTCTATCTATTGCTTGCAACCACCTAAGATCAATCCTCTCAAGCATATCTATATATGTCCTAATAGTATTAGCCCTCTGTTATAATTTCCTCTTATTACAACCCAGCTGTTCCTATTGCTTAGTATTCCTGGACACCAATTCACTCGAAAAGTCCCCAAATCGGAACACGGTTGAACAGGATGAAGAAATTATATTCCAAATAACGAGGGTAGATGGAAGTAAGAAGCACAATAAGAGATACGTTAGTATATTTATAGTTTATACATGAAAAGATTCTAGAGTCTTCTCCAAGTAACGACTAGCACTTATTGGATAGGGATTGGCCAATCAGCGTGCACCAGCTCAATCGTGCATGGAACATGCTTTAATCCAATCTACGCCCCGCTAACACCCTCATACGTATATACTAATCATGTTTTCTTGTATCATCTTTGTTGGTTTTTCAATTATGTTCTTTCGTAATTTAGCTTTTGAAAAATACCAACAAGTCTATATGGCATCGTAATATTGAATTAGCTTTTGCATCAATTGTCATTGGTATACCTGTACAACTATTGACCGATTGGAATGATATTACACGAAATGGCTATTTTCATGGTTTTGATTGGTTTGTTTGGATAGTGATATTTCTACATGCATTCGGTGGTTTATTAGTAGCTTTAGTAGTTAAATATGCTAACAATATTCTTAAAGTAAGTAAATTTTGCACTTTCCTTTGTTTTTACATTGAAACGATAATTAGTTGTTTATTTATTTAATGCAATGTACACGCTTATTTTGTTTATATGTGTATACTCAATAACTGTGTTGCTCATTATATAAGCCAAATTTTTAAAGTTGGTCATTGTTTTTAGGACATTATTAAGTGTACGAATAAATAAGTGGTAGACAAGTATAGTTGTTACCTGAATCTAGATATTTATTCATAATTTGGAACTTTAGATAGGGTGCAATCTGACTCGATGATCATGAAAAGAGTTTGAGTGTGAACATGGTAATTAGTACCTTTCTTTGATTGATATGTAACTGAACTGACACAAATTCCGATTTGGTTAGTTTATTCGAAACAAAATTTTTGTTCGATAATGACAACGTCAAAGCAACCTGGAGAGGCGAATTCTGTAGATTTGACAATTACATCTTTGAACTTTATTGACGTAAATCTATAATAATCATATAACGTATTTTAATTTGGATATGATTTTAGTCATCTTAGAAGCGGAACTAACGACAAACTCTTGTGTATTTTGGACCACGGAGTAAGCATTGGCTGGGTTAGGAATAGAGTACCAGGCAAAGATGATAAATCGATTGATGAAACAGTAAATCTTCATTAACTGAGGTGTTTGGGACATGTGTTACGTATGCCCGACCACCCCCTACCTTGACGGGCGATGTTTTCTGGTGCAAAAGTAGTCTGCAAGAAAGTTAGGGGCAGCCAAACCAAAACGTAGCATCAATCCATGAAGTCGCTGACAATTGGACTTATCCATGTTAATTGATACAGACTACTTGGTTGAGGTCCGTGTGATTATTGTAACCAGTGGTTAAAGATTTTGAATGACATGGCTCAAATCGTTTGCGATGGCGTTAGTGCATTTGTTTTTTTTTCCTCTCAAATCCTGAGATAAACTCCTCATAACTTTCTTTGCTTTTATTTCGCTAATTTATACTTTTAGAGTCGTATCTTCTGTGCCTAATCTTTTGTATTACAACTGATGATGTTACTACCTCTTCTATTCTGGGATTTGGCCTGGTAACTTTATATCGATGTGTTAATAGGGTACGGCAACTTGAGCCTATGTACATACGTACATGTTCTACATTGTGACTGACTGACAGTCAAACAGGAGCTCACTCCACAAACTTGACATTCTTTCTTTTCACGAAGATGGACTTGTAGGAAGCATAAACAGTATCATGAGAGAAAGTGTTGGGCAACGCTATAGTTCCCGAAATTTGGATTATACTCATGTAACACATCCAACCACCTACATTTGACACTTTAATATTCATATTCTTAGTGGCTAATCCCCAAGGCCCACTCCCATTTCCTCTATGAATACCCACATAATTTCCACTATATCTATCATCATTCGGTACATAACTGTTATTTATCTTGTCAACCTGAAACTGGAATTTTAGAATTATTGAAAATAGTGCAGATATTCTTTATTAAGTCTGTGAATCAAACTGTAAAGGGTGGTAAAATGTCATGCATTGAAAATTTATTTAAACACATAAATATTGGTACAAGGAAGCACCAGATAAATATGGACCTCAAAAATCTCATTCGATTTGTATGAGGGCTGTGATACTGCCCAGGTGCCCAGACTGAAGCAGGTGGTTTTCTTAGGGGACCACACCCGGAGCCTTTGACCTAAATGTCTAGTCCACAAGGCAGTGGAGCATCGTGAGGAGATGCAGTCCCATGGTAGCCGGTAACCAACAGTTGGTTCATACGCCATTCGTTCCTTCAGGATACTGGAGCCCATGTACACCAGTGGTTTGGAATCAGGGTTTGCCAACTCCCCTAGGTGGAATTTCCGTGTCCACCAACCCGGTTAAAGCACTTTTCGTCCTCTCACTTTTGTAAACAACACCCCCGCCACGAGAAGGCAGTGAGTAGGACTTCCCTGGCAGATGCTATATATTCGCGTGGCCATATGAGAGCATTTCGAGAGGGAGAGCAGACTCTCCCCACTTTCGGCCGTACCAGGGCATTTGGGGGCATGCATTAATGAAGAAGCCCTCTAAAATTATGGCTTCCTCTTTCATCTTTTCTATCTAGGATTTTAATCGATCCGCAACCACCGTAATTGGTACTGGGTAATCAGCGATGTTTATCCATAAATAATAATTTAGGCTATATATATATATATATATATATATATATATATATATATATATTATTCCCGTGACCCGTTTGTTGTATACCTTAAGAAAAAAACTTGAAATAAGAATTTGGTTTGGTTTGGTTTTTTTTACTGGTCAAAGCAAAGGCTATTTTTAGAAACGAAGGTGAAATAAATACTTGTAGGGGTGACTTTTTAATTAGTTGCTAGGCTCATGACTATACATTTCTCCTCAGGTTTAGTGTGGTTACTAAACAACCAAAATTAAAACCTCTTTAATTAGTTTGTAACTTTGATTTTTATTTTTGATTTACTTAGTTGTCTTTTGATTCCATACCGTAGTCACTGTTTTAATGTGGTGTTTGCGTTTGCTTATCATAACGACCTAACCAGCCCATATTGCCCGAAACATTCGTTTCTCTACTTCATACCATCCCAGACAAGTTAAGTGGAGAGTAATAAGAATAAAAATTCCAGAATTCATTGTGCGACAGCAAAGTCAATACTACCGACTGTATATGTTTGTGATGGTAGCAAGGTGTTTCAGAAAACTGACATCTCCAACGATACTGCTTTCTAAAAACAGGATATGATTATAAAACTTTAGACCGAAAGTTAGCACACCTCACCCCATCTTACGGGTTCCCGTCTCCGGGAGTAAGGCCTTAGAAGTACGGGATTAACAAAACTCAGATCGAAACCAAAGGCACTAGGTTCAACTCCCGTGCGCATAGTTGTAGATACGCACTGCTGAACAGTCTCATACTAGGAGGAAACGGTTGTCCAGTGCTTTCAGGTTTTGAATGACGGTCTAGCTAAGATCAATTCGTGATTTCAACTGTGAAAATACTACAATCTTCGCAAATCCCCATACTAATAGCAGTCATGTACTCACTAGCGACTAGTTTAAAGATGTAACTCTTGTAGTTGTAGTAAGAAGTCGTGACCAGTAGAGTTCAACTGTGTCGGGTATGAGACGGTTAAACTCTCAGACAATGGATGAAGGGTTGCGCCAGATGAATTACTTGAAGTCAGACATTAACGCCATTGAATGCCGGGTCAACAGTCTAGAGGTTAAACGTTCGCACGTGAGACCGTAGGTTGTTGGTCTGATTCCTGTATGCGGGTCGTTGGTGCGCCTTGTTCCTTTGCTATCTAACAGCTTACTCATAGTCACGATAATTATAATGGTTTGAGCATACTTTGTAGATAAACAAAAGTTTCTATCCTCCTTGATGTAATATAATCAGTTAACCAGCGGCGTTGTCGTCTAAGCGTTACTCTATTAGGCGTTTGAGACTCACTTCGATAGAAAAATTACTTATTCCACTGCCGAAGTCATTTCAGCATTCTTTCATTCAATCCCATTCCATCATAGTAATATTTCTAACTAACTCATATTGACTAAAATAAAACACTGAACTTTCCAGTTATATTAAACCAGACTAGTAATCCTTCGTGTGAAAAATATGCAAGCAGTTGTAAATATGCCGACTTCCGGATTCCTGGTCTCAGATTTTATTAAATGTGACTAAGAACACGAAATGTAACAGTTTAGGCACCGTTTTCATCTTATTTTTTTGAATCTAACCATTCTATTACTTCAGTAATATTTATTTTCTCTATGAATTGGTAGATTTTTCTTGCCCTTTATTTTTTCATTTTCTGCCACTCTTCTTCCTTAAGTTTTAACCCATAACTACTCTCTTCCGATGTGACAAAGAAATAAAAGTTCTGATTAGTTGATTTGGACAGATTAATTTAGTGTTAATAATATCAATTAGTTTCAATCACAAATTAACATCACGTGGAGAGCACCACTAAAACCAGGGACCATATAACATCTGCTTTGCAACAGTGTGAAACTTTTCAGTGGTGCGAACTCATAACTACACTAACTCATGACCACAAACGCGAATGTCTATTTGATGTATCTAGATCTAGCCGTTACGATAGACAAACTTGTAAACCACACCACAGGTTATTAACTACGATATAGTTTATATATATAGTCTTTATAACTAGTTACATTAATTAATAATTCTGTTGCATTATTGTCTACATTCATGTGTCATTTCCCTTCTTTGTTTCTTTTAGTCATTCGCCTGTTGTGTGTCAATTATTCTATCATGTGCATTCTCTGTTGTATTTCTTGGGATGCATTTAAGTAATAGTTTCATTTTTGGCACATTAATTGTTATCGTATCATCTATTTTGTATTCTAGTTACCCTCCGAAAATAAATGCTCGATAGAAATTCGTATTATTGCTTTTCATTAATTTAACAATCTTACAATAATTTCAATCTTTTTTTGTCTAACTCGACATTTGACCTCCCAATATTTTGTTTACATATTTCAAACTACTTTTAAGTAGTATAAGTGAGCCTAAAATTTCAGAGAGAACCAGTCTTCATATTTGTTCATTCTTTAAAATATTTTGTAATTTCTTTTTCCTCAGGAAATTTCAAGTTGAGCTTCCGTTAACAACTATGTTTAATTATCTTCATAGTAGCTTTTTATATTTTTCGTATACATAGTTTCATCCGATTATTGATACAATGACGATTTGGAATATTTTTTTGAAATAAAACTATTATATATACTATCCTAAAGTGTTGCTTCGATTTCCCTCAGTGGTTATAAATAGTTTATTCTTAGGCATAAAAATTTGGAGATCAGTTTCTACTCATATGATATTTTACACAGTTCGTTCCGTCCTACTTTATGGCAGTGAAATATGGCCGATAAGGGTAAAGGATATTCGTAGGCTACTAGTGTTCGATCATAGGTGTCTTCGAAGCATTGCTCGTATATTCTGGGACCATCGGGTAAGTAATGCAGTTGTTGGGAAACGGGTACTAGGTAAGGATGGCAAATCGATTGATGAAGTAGTGAAACTTAATCAGTTGAGATGGCTGGGACATGTGTTACGAATGCCCAACCACCGACTGCCCCGATGTGCAATGCTTTATGGTGTAGGAGTAGATTGGAAGAAAGCTAGGGGTGGCCAGACCAAAACGTGGCATAAATCGATGAAGTCGCTGACAAGTGGACTGAGCCATGTTGGTAGGTGTAGACTACCTGGTTGGAATTCGCGAGATGATAGCAACCGATGGTTAGATACCTTGACTGACATGGCTCAAAATTGTTTGCAATGGTGAAGGTGCATCCACTCTTTGTGTTCTACCAAATTCTAATCTTCTGAATTCCTCATATCCCTATCCTTTTTCTCTCTCCAAATTTATTTCACTGTATTATACTCCTTCAATGACATCTTCAAACCTTAATCTTTCACATAATACTTACATTCTTACTACTTCTACCACTATGGGATTTGAATCGACAACTGTATCTCTGTGCTGATTTGGTATGGCAACTCGAACTGATGTACGTACGTACGAAGTTCTATGTTGTGACTGACTGATATGATATTTTACAAGCTCTAATCAGCGTTATTTAAATTGGAAAATATGTCAGTAACCTACAGAATTTGATACTTATTATCATGAACGGGATCTAAGACCTTGATACTATCTAACTCTTTATCGTAGTCAAATTCATTAGGAGTGAACTATTCATGATGTGATCAACTATTTTTATGATTCGATTAAATTCACTGCTAAGGGTACTACTACTACATTATTTTGAATCATTTACTATTTATCTTGTTTGTTCCATCTCATCGTACCAATATTGTATGGAAACTTAGACCAACAAGCACTTGACTATAACTCTAAGTCCACTCTAAATATCAACAAGTCACTTTCTATAGTCTACATGTCACTGAGCAAATCCAACATCATTTAATTTAATCCTAGTCAGACAATCGCTAACCATTTATTGAATTTTCACAGTTGAAATCACTAGTCGATCTAAGCTAGACCACTATTGAAAATCTGGTAGCACTGAACGGCCATTTCGTCCTAGTGCAGGACTCCTCAACAGTGCTCATCCACGACCCCGCACACGGAACTCGACCCCAGAAACTTCAGTCTCGTACGAATGCTTAATCTCTAGACCACTGAACTGACATTCGAAGGTGTTAATATCTGAGTTCAATCAATCCATTATCTTGTGCGACCCTTCATCCATTGCCTGTGGTGGATAACCGTCTCACACCCAACGCCGTTGAACTCTACTGATCACAGCTCACTAGAACTCCAGGAATTACATCTTGAAGCTAGTCGCTAGTGGGTTTGTTCAATATTTTCATGTGTTAAGTTTTAAACAGAAATTCAAAAAAAAACTACGAATTCAGAAACTTCCCCACTCCTTAACAATAAATTCCTCTACTTCTGAGATGAATATTGACTTATAATAAAATGGTATTTGTTTCATGAAATTAGACTTATGATTGATTTTTTTGTTTGCTTGTTTTTCTTTGCAAAGTATTCGACAAGTGTAAAATTTTTTTTATAAAATTTAAATGCGAAAGAAAATATTAAATAAGGGATATGAATAAACGAAAAGTTATCTACAATTAATTGTGCTACCGTTTTGTTATAATAATAGTTATCATTACTCATTACATAAATACATGTGTGTGTGTGTGTACAGAAGTATTGTGAACACACACTCTAGAATGGTGTATCTTCTTCCCATGTTGACAACAAGCGCTCTTCCAAAACAGCATTCACCGTATATCGTCTGTATAAAGAAAAAAAGACTGTTAATTCAGCAATACTACTTACAAATGGAGAGAATCATCCAATCAAAGCAATATTATTCTAAACAGCATTCGATCACATAAGTCTTTGAAACATTGTTCACACACGGTGGAACAACTAAGTGTACTATGCTGAGTTCAGTCGTACGGTACTAGGTAAACTTGTTGAGTCTTTATAGACTGAGATGACAAGTATTGTGTCTATCTTGTCAATACCTATTTCGATGCTCACTGTTGATAAGTGTAGGAATAGGCTGAAAGAATCATGTGTGCTACTCAAACAAGATATGAGATCAATCTTTATAATCACTGAATGTTAGTTAACTTTACCTTGATAGGTGAGTACAAAAATATCATCATCTCAGCACTGGAACATCATATCAATTCTGATCACACGGGCAACCAAGATCTTACGTTGAATATATAATTAACGATTATCAAATTAATGAGGATCCGGAATGTTAAGTATTATTTATTGATACTCTTATATAAATCATTCTATTTCTGGTTTGGGGAAAAAATACTTGTTCAGTTTACCAAATTTTGAAATCACTATCAGGTATTTGTGTATAATTATGTAATCTACAAATTACTACACTTGTTCATATATCTTATGAACTCGAATAGTATTTTAATCTCCATGGTAATAGTAAAAATAGTTTAGTATTTCAAATAATTTTCACTTATTTTGTTGCCATGATGAATTCCTAAATTGTCTAACACGTACTAATTGGAATTCGAATCCAAATTATTCATTTTGAACAAAATATATACTCTCATCATTACAACTGATTTAATCAGTAAAAGTGGAATTAGAGCATATATGGTGACTGATTTCAAACATGTACTTTTTAAGTAAAGTTAAAATCTAATTAAAATGTGTCCATGATGTTGTGAAGGTGAACTATGTAAGCAGTCATCCTATATCAGGTAAATAGTTTAATTCGAGAGTTTTGATCATTTTGTTGGACAATATTCTGAATTTTAAATTTTGAGTTTCAATGAAAACCAACAATACACAAGCTAAAAATTTCGATAATAATTGGATATTTTTATGAAATGATTTTTAGAGTTCGAAGATAAGCTTCATTGCACACATTTCAGCTGAATAAACATTAAGGTAAATATCACTGATGTCATTGAACGTGCTACAGATGTCGTCCCAGCAACTTTTACACATTAGGTTATTTGTCAACCCTGGGTTTGATTGAAGAAAGTGGAGAAGTCAGTTCATGATTCTGTGGTATAGAAGAGAGCTGTACGGGACTGGTATTTGATGGTCTATTGTAAATCCTTGTCAAAGTCCGAGAGATAGTACAACCCAGTCGTTTAAAACGTTATCAGACGTGGATCGGAAAAAAACCAGTTACAATCGCACTGTAGTTTTCTTTTTTGAGAAAGTCTCAAAATATCCCTCATCAAAGTTTTTGGAGACGTATAAACACCAGAAAACGTTTTATCCAACCAGGGCTCAATAAAAGCTTCTCAAAAACATCTAAAATAAACCCAGAATCACGTTACATGGTTTTGAACGAATATGTACTCAATACTGCTACCATATTAAGTGTGATTCTGGAAATTTCCTGAAACCTATGGTCCTGTGAAACTCCATAAATAACCTCTATTTTCTGTACATAGGCTAACCTTGGAGTAAAGCTTCCACTCGCAATTCACCCCTTTTCTCTTATGTTCCAGTTGACATGTGAAAGCAGTTAGGGTCGTCGGAATCGGACGAGAGGATTTTTTCTAGTTGTATTTTTATTGTCGAACTGTCTCTCCCATTATATACTGCTCTCATTCACTCATTTTTATTCAGTTATTTGTTTTTGATCATACTTCCACTCCTTCCTCTATCTCTTCACAATTTAACTTCCTTATTTGTATGGCGTATATCTATTTTGGTGCGCACCTGTACAAGTATTTGTGTACTAAATAGAAAAGCTATCTGGTTCTTCAATGACTCACTAATGGAAGTTTGTCCTTGACGTAACCAACGTAAAAACGAAGATATACACTTATATTTTCTAGTTTTTATACAATTTTTCACTTGCACTCAAACCACATTCATATCATGAACGTGATGCCTTTTCTCAATTTACCTTCATTGATAATTGCTGTGTTGTGCAAACAGTTGAAACGAAATTCTCTTGGGGTTACAGTATTGTTAATTTCAAGGTTTAAGTGGACTTGACAATCTCAATATGTTCCTAACATTATTAAATAAGTTTATTTGTCACATATATTCTACTTTAATATAAACTTACGCGGTTGCTTCAATCACATTATGCAAGATATATGCTGTTGGCTGATGAAGTGAATTGATATCAATACTTTCTTCACGAAAAGATTTCAATATATCCAATGTTTGTGGTAAGTTGAACATATCACAACGGACACCTGTGTAACCAGTCCTACAACTAAAAATAAACCAAAGAAAAATATGTATCTATCAGTTTGACAAAAACCATGATAATAAAATGTTTTTGTCAAAAGAAACTGACATAACGAACTGGGAAAAATAAAATGTCTGATATACTACTGAAAAGCATAAGTAGTTGAACACAGCTTCGAATGTTGTCTGACAACTTTACCATATACTCAATCGAGATCATGAACCGATCAATGTTAGACTACCATTGAAAACCTGGGAGCACTGGACAGTCATTTCATCTTAATGTGGAGCTTTTCTGCAGTGCGAATCCTTTTTTCCGCACACAGGACTCAAACCCAGGACCTTTGGTCTAGCGCAAACGCTTAACCTCTAGACCACTAAGCCATCCAGTGTTTCCAGGTTTTCACTGGTGATCTAACATTAATGGGTTCATGAACTCAATAATCTCCGCAACCCTATAATGATATTTACCAGATATGTTACAACGAATCACCCATATTACTACTAGTAAGATTGTAAACCTAATCGATAGAATTCAGTCAGCGCCAAAAAAAATAGATAAGTATGATATTAGCCACCAGTGAGTCGGTTATTAATCAACTGTAAAGTTCCTAATCATCCAGGAGTTCATTCATAGCATTAATACTGATATCTGGATACAAACAGTTAGAAATTTCCTTATTGAAAACAGATCGATGATCCTCGTTTTAAAAAAACGAAAGAAATACTTCAGTGACGACAGTTGTCTTTTCGTTAATATCACTATAAGAAGCTCTGCAACGGTTTATATATTCATATAAAATAATTATCCGGTAAAATAATGATTTACTCGTTATTATTGTGTGGTATTCACAGAGTACTGTTATTAATAGCGGATGTTCGTAAATGTTGCATCTTCAAAAAGAACAGATACTAAAATTGTATCAGGGTTCATGTGTTAGACCCATTATGGTGGAAGCAGTATTTTATTGTCTAGTACGATAGCTTATCAGTTCACTCTATGCCTGTAGGACCAATGACATAGTCTACCTATAAACAACAACCGAAACATTAACCCTTATTGATCCTTGAGCTACTTCCAAAAGTTAAAAAGCAGATATCTTCTCTATTGTGTCGCAGTTCTTTTGTTTCTCAACTCAGACAGCACTGTAGATGAAATTCCTGGTCAGACATTAATGTAAGAAATTATGCAATGTTTGAGGATACCATTAGTGAAAGATAAACTAAATAACAAGTTAATAAAAACAATCACAATTCAAGTCTAATAATTATGCAATAAAAAAATACCTACACTGACTCGTTGTTAGATAATTTTCAGTAGTTACAGAGTGAATATCATAACCTTCGTTAATTTGCGGAATGTTTATTTTGCAGATAATTCAAAAACTAGCCAGAGTTCATGGTATGATGGTTCACTTAAGTTGACTTTTTGGATGAAACCAGTGTAAACTACCTATCTAAGATAAATGCTTTTTCATAGCTCACAAATTATGTGCTTGTTCTTGATGTAATAAAACCAACCAAATTTAGGAAAGACATCGGAATGAAAAGAATGTACTTTGTAGGCACCAAAAAACTAAACCAGGAGGCAAGGTCAAGCTCGGAATCCTCAAGGCATAAGGGAAAGAGATAGACTAACGAACGCATAACTATGGAATGTCAAGCCAGACATTGAAACCATGAATCGTGGTTGGTACTAACTAGAAAAGAGGGCCCAGAACAGAGTTGGCTGGGGATCTTTGATTGACAGCCTATATACCACATGCGGAACCAGGCTAAATAAAGCATAATGATGAAGTGAAATATGAATTCCTATATTCTAATTCTATAAATTATATGATGATTGATCCGGCGCAAATTACAAAAAATGCACATTCTTTAAATTAGAAAATTTTCTTCTTGTCTTGATTCACACATCTCCAATTACATGTAAGTATATACATAAATAGAATATCTAATTGAATTATTTACCTTACAGTCTCTTTATTAAGTTCAATCATCCGACAAGAAAAATAATAATAAGCCAAAAATAAACCACATGAATTCCGAACAAACATTCTTTTATGATTAAAAATGCTGCATATATATATCCTGATTTGTCTAGCTAAAACAAGGTGATTTTAATTAATAGACTGCAGATACTAACTGAGCTTTCCCCACCTATCTAACTCTACCTAATTCTCTTTAAGTAGCCTGGTGACATTCTTAGTTATCAGACATAGAAATTCCCACTGAAAGTCAAATATAGAAACTTGTATTCGATGGAGGACTTACGTCATGATTTTATTACATTAGCATTGTGGTAGGTATGCACTCTAAAAATTGTTTTATGGCAACTTCTATAGCTTGCAAACAATCATTGTCTTTACAAATATGGTTGGATTATGTAATCAACTTTTGTTCTTTTTGTTGAACTTTAGAATTTTACAGTCGTGTTTTTTTTAGTTTTAAAGGCCTGTGAAGTCTAGTTTACATTTGATATTATTTCGTTACGGAATAGTGTCAACTGGAGAAGTACTGTAAACTAGGAAGCATTGATGATGTCGGTTTACTTCATGCACGACCTATGGTGACTATTGAAATGATCTTGAGAAAAGAAAACTAAGTTGTAGACAATCAGAATAAAAGTAATATTAAACGAATAACTTATTATATAAAATCCTCAAAATAGCTTCAATTAGGATCAAGATTATGGTTTTAGATAACAGGTATTTGTAAGAAAGTAGGGGTAATGTTTAGAAATAGAGTGAAGCAAGTTTTGTAATAATATGAATGAATACTAATGTAGTTAGTTCTTCGATTTCAAATATCAGTAAACTTGAAGTTACCCTTAAAAAATTACAAATTATAGCTCCTACATTTCAGCTTTCCTATGTTACTAATTTTAAATGTCTTTACAGTTAAATACTATCAAGCTCTACTTAAGTTTTAATATTAATTATCAGAAGTGGTTTTGTGGAGATTTAGTATTTTCATAGTTGAAAGCGTGAGTCAATGAAGCTAGACCACGATGGAAAACCTGGAAGCACTGGACGGCCATATCCTCACTAGTGACTGACTTGGATTTCTAGTGAGAAGCAGTGACCAGTGGAGTTCAAATCACATCTGTTGTGAGATAGGAACTCACTGAAGACAGTTGGTGAACGGTTGCTCAACTTCGTGGATCAGTTGAAGTTAGACATTAACACCGTTGGATGCCGGCTCAGTGGTCTATCGGTTAAGGGCTCTGGCTCGAGACTGGTAGGTTCTGGGTTCGGATCTCGCGAGTGCAGGGTCGTGGATACTCGCTGAGGAGTCCCATAATAGAACGAAACGGCCGTCCAGCGCTTTCAGGTTTTCCATGGTAGTTTAGCTTCAATTGACTCACGCTTTCAACCATTAGTTTTAATAATTTACAAACCACCGACTTGCAAATGTTGCACAAAAATCTACCGGTCACTACCTTAAATCTGGTTCCTTCATACTTTCGCTGTATTGAACAGCTGTTTCATCTTAGTATGATATTTCACAGCAGTACGTATCCATGACCCTTCCGAGGATCAAACCCCGTACCTTCACGTTACGCAGTGAGAATTTTATCATGATGTCAGTGAGCTGAAATCCAAAGATTCACATTTCTACTATTAGTTCACTTCGTTATATGTTGCGACGATCATTCAATAGCATTCGTAGGTAATTGTTTTACTTTCAACTTAGCCGAATCCCATCAGTTATGAATTCTCACTAGCCTCAAATACTAGTGAAACCATAATCATTAGTAAGTTAAGGAGTTTGTGAATACTGTTCGGATTATTTTTCATCACTAATTCACACCACATGTACGAACAGTTTGTGAGACTCTAAGATAGTCATTGGATGATCAAAATTAAGCGAAGTGAATAGGAAATGTAAGGAGTTTGGGGATACTATGGACTTTTCATAGTTTAAATCACAAAATGACCGCCAGTCCGCCATCGGGAACCAAGAAGCACAGAACAGCTGTTTCTCCCTAGTATTACATCTGCCATGGATGTGCATTTCTGAGGAGTCCCATGTTAGGAAGAATCAGCTGTTCAGTACTTCTTGCTTTCCGATGGTGGCCTATAAGAATACAGAATAATCAACACTGAACTGATACGTCGAATTTTGTTGATAAATGGCTATTCATGAATTTTTCTATGACATTCTATGTGACATTGCATATCTATTTGTTTTTAAATCGTTTTTTTTCGCAGGTCATGCACATATGGCTAATGATTCACCAAAAGGGATATTTATTTTTACATAAATTGCTAAACTTTGTAAATCTACTACTTCATGAGGTGTAAACATCGACCTTACTCTTTAACAAAATACCAAGTTTCATAGATTACCACGCACATACATATAGATACACAAGCATATTTTTCTACATGACAAATAGCAAATGTCAAATCGGTCACTTGACAATATCAACTTTTCAAGGTCATATCATTAGAATCATATGAATTTCCACTGCTTATAAACATAGTCAAAGAAACATTTCACACTAATCAACAAAAACTTAGAACATGCTAGAAAATGATAAGGGTCATATATCAAAGTTTTGTAATTAATTCTCGTGTAAGGTTTATCAAATATGTTTACATGATTTCACACAAGTCTATGTAAGATGATGAGTTAATAATGAATATGTAGCCTAAGTTACGAGGAAAAAACATACATTTTCACCAGTAATAAAACTCGCCACCATCTATATGAAAATCACATTGTTCAGATAATCAAGATAGCAGAAAGGGGTTGATAAACTGAAAAAACAAACTATTCATATCAGTCAATCAGATATATGCAACATAGTACATGGCATATATGTGCATCGGTTCAAGCTAACATACTGTGTCGGTACAGTAAGATATGTGGTAACAAAAAGTGTCAGACATAAACAATATGAATCAAGAAAGTAATAAGAATCCAAAGAGTAGAAGGGTAAGCTAATTTTGAAATTTGTGATTTAAAGGAAGACAAAAAGTGAATACATCTGTACGACCGTGTCACATCACCAAGCAT